AAAAAAAAAAATTTGACCTCTGGACTTGTCTTCATGGTGAAAACGGCTACCGAATGCTATTTTTGTGTGAAAATTTTGGATTTTATTATTTATATTATATTTAACTTTATAATGCTATAACTTATTGAAAAGTTTATGGATCCACACAATTTTTTTATGAGAATCTGTCAAAAAGTTTGCTAATTATGGAGTGATTAGCTTTTTCTAGTTCATCCGAATTTAGTAAAAAAATTTTGCTGTGCAACTTTCATCAAGAATACCAACTATTACATTCGCAATGTAACGACCCTCTACATCAGTCGTCTCATCTATACTGACCAAAATTTTATTGTCTGAAATAGTTTTTTTATATCGTTAATAGAATTATTATAAATTTCATCTTCGTATTATTTTCGCAACGTAGAATTGCTAGGAATTTCATTTTTTGTATACATTTTCAAAAATGTTTTTAATTTTCGATTTACTATTTCATATAAAGGAATGTTAGCAGAAATAAGAGCCTTGCACAAATTTTTGTTGAATGATGATTTTCTATTACTTATTTTTGTCAATAACTATTGCTGTATTCGATTAATTTGATTTTCATATCGAACAAAGCCTTTTTTTATATGTTTGACACTTTTTAAATATTGTGATACATTGAACTATTTGTCGGAATTAACTTTAATTTTACAAATGTTACAAAACAATACACTTGCATCGATTGAAAATATATTAGAACTAAATTCATTAATATAAGATTGTAGCCGACTCGATAAACTTTGTTTTACTTTTGGCAATTATAAAACAATTAACACACCATTTTTTAAATAACGCAAATACCACACATAGAAATGATGATGGGACACTAAAAATTTTAGTCTAAAATAAAAACATCGTATATGTAGGTAATATGAAGATAATGTAAATACGGTGATGATGATAATAGTAGTACGTTTGGCAGGAAATTACCAAATTATTGTAAATGGTATGAATTGTATTATCGACAACAATCGAATATATCACATTTGATAAACAAAATACTTGTTATTTTTTGTTTTCATATTCATTTTTATGTGTTAGTATAGTTTTTTTTTCTCTACAATTTTGGTTATTTCAGATTTATATATAAAATCTAGTCCAAAATAGCACTTAAACCTAAAAATGAGCAAAATAGCAATAAAAACTGTAAACATACATAAATTAGCAAATTATGCACTTGCTAAAACTTCCGGGCTCTGGACATAAGCCATAATTAAATTAATATTGTTAATTAAGATAATCATTATAAGTGATCTTTAAAATAAATATATATTTTTTTAAATATTCAACCAACGTAGGCACACTCATCCAAAAGTTCAAAAAAATTTTTTGTGAAATTTTGTTTGGTATAATTCAGCACTTCATAATTATTTTTCTGTATCGTATTGTCTGCTACGATACCTATAGCGGTTAATACTGATTATGAAACCGGTGATAAAAAATTTTGGCGTTATCAACAATTTTTAAATATGGAATAAATAATATCAATTTTATTTTATTATTAAAATATGCAATTATAAGAACAATAATTTAACAATGAATATAATTATTACTATACCAAATTAAAAAATTATATTTTCAAGTTGAAAAATACTATTTTGTTGTCCTTTTAAACTGTTAAAGGTAATTATTGAAGTTTGTATCAATAAGTGGATTTGAATATGTTAAAGACTTAATTGCATGGATTCAAGAATTGATAAAACTCTTTATTTATTATACTTTAGTTTTTCAACAAGAATTTTTTTCTGGGTAGTGTATTTTTGAATTACTAAAATGGTTATTATACCCATATTATTCTATATCCAATGTACACAACAGTTAATTCAAATTATTTAGTAATAAAACCAATAAAAAATTGATCTAATTACTTAATTTTTATAAACCTTGAAATGTACATTATTGATAAACATGTTATTAATATTTAAAAAATAGTTGTGTTGTTTTTTGTTCTAGTATTTTTATTGAAATACCTAGACGTAGTAGGATAGTCAACCTTCAAATTGTGTTAAAATAGTTAATTTTCTATATTTTATCTTATTTGATTATAAATCCAACTAATTAAAATTTTGGTAATCTTTTCTATTTTTACATATAACATAGTTGTCAGGTATCTTCATGGGCGCCTGAACAATGGGGGCAGTTGCCCCCACGGGAAAAATTCTGTGAGGGCATAGCCTTCACGGACAGTTTCCTTCCTCTGTATTTGTAGCTGTGCTCAGCCTCCACGGTTCAAAAATTGTTCCGGCGCCACTGGGTATCTTTCCAAATATTTAATGAGAACAGAAGGTTATTATCTCTCAATAATACATTAGAGGTCATAGGATGATTCTTTGACAAGTTCCCATAGTAAAATAATCAGTCTGAATGGGTAACATTTTCTTATTTTTTCAGAAAATAAAATTTTTTACTTATTTTAAATAACCAATTTACAAATTAATTCAGCAATTATGTATATAACAATTTCTCACAAAAATCATATAACCACTCTACATGACATAACCAAAAAAATTTTTTTTTTACTGAGGTATTATATATAAGATGTGTATATTGAAATTTAGAATATATTCTATAATGAGTTAATACCTTGTTTTATATAAACAATTTAACTATTGTAGGACTATCCTCTCCAATTTAGGATGGTTGGCAACTCTTTACACATAAATAATTATTTTTCATTCAATATACATTTTTTTTTAGGAAAATGGAACCAGTTTGTAAAGTAACTAGTCCTAAATCAAATAATCTTATTGATTTACAACAGTTATTAAACCCTACAACTACAGTAAAAATAAAACTCCAATGTGTACAGAAGATTTCTGATTGTCTTGAAGTAAATAAAAATTATTTATTATTATATAAATTTTTGTATTATGTAACTATGATTGATTATAGAATTTTTGGGTAAATATTTTAAAATTAAAAAATGTAAAATTATTCTAAACCAGATATTGCAGACACCAGGATAAATTGAAGTCTGATAGTGATTAACATCTATAGATCTTCTAATGTTTTGATACAATTTTTGAAAATTTGACAAGTGGTTATTACAAATAATTATTTGATATAGAGGCTATAATAGCTTTCTTGAGCTATCAGAAGTTTGTAACATTTTAAAATATAAACTGAAGTTATTGGACTATTTTTAGTTATTTTTATTAATAGGCATTCCTCAGTCTAATTTGTCCTCTCGCTTAGTTATAATAATTTTCTGAAATAATGATTCAAAAGTTTTTGTCAAATAGTTATTTTTTTAATTAGATAATTTTCTAAAATTTAGACTAGCTATGTAATATATATTATGTTTATTAAACAAAATAATAAAATTAATTATTTTATAAAGGATTTAACAAATATTTTATAACTTAATTTGAAAATTATATTTAGTTATATTCGTTTTTTTTTTTGATAAAATTTCTTTTGTTGCAGGAATGTTGTCGAAACCAAGTATATTTTGAAAGTATGATAACTGTATTTCTTAAAGTATTATCTGCTACTGAACCAGTATTCACTCCAGATCACGATGTTTTTGTATGTTTTCCTGCAATTTATATAGATAAATTATTTTATTGTTTGAGAGTAAAATAATATAGATTTGTAATGTTTAACAGAAAATAAGAAAACTGATTCTTCAAATAATTCACAAGATTTGTAGCAGCACTGAAAAAATTAAAAATCATGTTCATACAACAATGGTGGCATGCTTAAAAGTAATTGAAACAGACAATGAGCAATGTGTTATTTATTGTTTGTGGATTTTTAAAGAGTTGTTGAATTCTTTTAAGCCAAAATTTGAGGGTTGTCTAAAAACTGAAGTATGTTATTCTTCTATCAAATCAATTATTATGTTAACATAATAATTAAAATATATTGTTTCAGATTGTGAAATGTTTACAACTTATTATAAACATATATAACAATTCTAGTCATAGTGAAAAAATTCTAAGTTTTCAAAAAACTTCTGATATCAAAACCTTAATGAACACTGTAAGATCATCGACAACTGTTACTAAAAATGCTATTAGTGTAAGCAATTATATTATTATTTTTTATTAGGTATAGAGATGCATTATATATTTGTACTTGTTTTTTAGTATGTAATTATTCCAATGGGAAAAATATCAGTTAAGGTATTGAAAGAATTACCACAAATATTAAAAATATTCTACATGATGTATTATGGTATTCAATCTTTTAAAAGTGAAATGATAGAATTTTTTCCAACTCTTATTTCTTTTTTTAATTTGGAAATACCATACAAGTAAAAATATATTTTAAATTGTTTTAAATTAACATTATATTTTTCATTGTATTTTTAAAACATTTCAGAGCTGAATATAGGGATTTAGTATTAGATTTAAAATATGCACAAGTGAGATTGTTACCTTTTTTTTCTCTATTTTTGAAAGAAAATAGAGATGCTATAAGTGTGCATTGTACAACTTTAGCTGGAAGAATAATACATTTAATGGGTTCAAACATATTTTCAGATGTTAGTAATTTACGTACTGAACTTCTTACAGGATTTGAATCTATTATTTTGGCTGACCATAAATCTGGTAAGATTTAGTAAATTAGAATTAATTTACCACTAAATAAAAATAATTTTAAATAATTACAACTCTTTATAATCAGTAAATTCTAAATTTAGTTCTATAAAGTTATAGACATAAAATTTATAATTTTATTTTTATACGTTAATAATTTAAAATTGATGTTAAATATAGTATAATCAAAATAAATAAAAATATATAGTAAATCAATATATGGGAATAACTATTATTTAGAGTTTTTTTTAACTTTAAAAATTTTAAAAATTACTTATAAAATATAAATTATAAGAATTTAAAATAAACTAAAAATATTAAATATAAAAAATAATGGCCTAAAATATTTTGATTCTTTTTAAGAATAACTAAAAATTATTTTCAAGTTTATATTGAATACAAAATTAATAAAATGAATAAAAAGAGCATAATCTCATATAAAAAAAACAGCATTAAAGGAATTTATAAAAATTAGAGGTAAAATTCACTAGCACAAACAAAATTTGTGAAAAGTTAAATAAAAAGAGTTATGAAAGTTTTAACTAAAAAAGGGTAGCACAGTGAGATTGCGGCATAGTATGGATGTGATAAGTAGAAGATATCAAAATGATTAAAATCACTATCAAAAGAAATGATTTGATGCATATCAATAAATAATGTTTAATTTAAGAAATTGGTGGATTATATCAAAATCAAAATGAACTCTTATTTCCTTATTTATATCTTGATTACAAGTTTTTTGATATACAAGTCTAATATATGAATAAATACTTGATTACAAAAGTTCTGCTTTTTATATGGATGTTTCAAGATTTGAACGCCCCCTGTGTAAGGGGAAATTGTCTGATTTAAAAAAAAATGTATGTCGGAAAAAAGGAGTATATATAATGTATTTGGAAACAAAAATATCTGTTGATCCATACATTTTTCAATTTATAACAATTTAAAGTTGAAAATTTAAAAACAAAAATAGCATTTTTTAACTACAGTAGTCATTTGTACAAAGAAGATAAGTCGTCTGGACAATCTTTTTAAATTTTATTTATAGCACATAATTTAAGCTTTAATTTTACATATGTTTAAAGAACCCAGTATTTCCGGAACATTTTCAAAATTTAAGTTGACTTTTATGAATAAGTTGCTATTTTGATTAAATCCCTGTGAGCAGGTAAATAGTCAGGTTTTCAAAAAAATTTTATCAAATGAACTATTAAAGGTGATATATATAAAAAAAAATTATTTTGTCTGTTCATTTTTGAAAAAGTTATGGCAGTTTTAAGAAAAACATTGTCAAAGTTTACGAATTTTAAAAATTGTATTTTTTTTTGGAGATTTCCCTCATTTACAAGGAATGAGTGAATATATTTCAATTTTTTCAATAGTCTTAATCTAGATGCAATTTATTATCTTTTGATGTATCGTTAAAAGAAACATTTTGTGTGAGGTAAAAAAAGTAGCGACAGACATAAAAAAAAAAGCTCTTAATAATAAAATTAAAACCTTATTAGCTTCGAATTGAAGCTAATAAATATAGAATCTGAATATTTATGAAAATACAAGTAAATGAGTACTAATCAAATTTATTATAAAAATGACATAATAACACATTGAAAACATCAATCAGAATTTAAAAATATAAACAACACCATATAATATGATTTTTATTCATTTTGTTCATATTTGATACTCAAATTCTTAAGTAAATTTAATAAGTCTGAAATATTAAAATACCAACAAAGTGACCCTCATGATGTTCAAACACAGGTGTAATAAAAAAAAATTGTTTTTATATTTTTAAACTTTTACAAAATTTTAGCAATAATATGATTTGAAAATTAAAATTGATTATGATTTATAATTTTTTGTAAAAAAATGATGAAATAATGAGATAAATTTCAGAAAATGACTTTAAAGTGAAGTATTGTAAAACTCTGTATGCTATTAATTTTTTTATTATATTACAGAATTTTTACCTCATATGGATAAATTTTTAGATGAAAGTCTAATAACAGGAAAAGGTTGGTCTTTAAAAAGTATTCTAAGACCTAAAGCATATATTTATATTGATCATCTTATAACTCATTTGCATAATCAATTATCTTTAAACTATTTAGTTAGAGTAGTACATTTACATTTTACAAATATATTGGATCCTACACTTCAACCAGAGTGAGTTTTCAGTTTATTCTTTATGAAAAAATAACTTTTAAATTATTTATTAATTAAATTAAAAATATATATTTTTAAATAATATTAGTTACAGTTTATTATTAATTTTTGTTAATTATTGATTTTTGTTTTACATTTTATTACATTTTTTATATGGATTTAAAATATTATTTTTAATATTTTTCCGTTTAGAGTTCAAATCAACTTATGTAATATGGTGATGAATATGTTAAATTATATTATTCAACGACAAAATCAAATTATTACCAATATCAACACTGTTGAGAGTAATATGAATCCTATTATTGATGTATTTTATCGAGCATTAAAAATATTTGTTTTAAAACTTAAACAATTTCACAAGCTTTATCTACCACAGATAAAAATGTATATAAACTATTTGTAAATTTATATGTATATATTTACATTTTCATATATATTTTGAAATTTATAGGAATTATACACCTTCAGAAAATAATAATGAATCTATTTCTAAAATATTAGCAGGTACTTAAATTTTTATCTTTTTAATAGACACTCTAAAATAAAATACTTTTTACTAAAAGACTAATCAAAATTTTGTAAAATGTTTTTGTGCAATATTTTTTTAGAATGTCAATTGAGAGAAAAAGAGAGAAAGTTTTCTTTTGGCTATCATTCATCACAAATAATACCATATACATCTGCAGATTGCAACCGATTCATTAAAACCATTATTCCAGCTATTAAGACAATTTTGCAATTCATTGTAAAAGATTTTTAACTGAATTTAGTTATATGAAGTATATTGTTAAATTTATATTTTTAGGTGAAAACAGAAGGAGTAAAGATTTCTGTAAAACATTACAATAAAGACATTTTGAAACATTTTATAGAATTATCTTTTTTATCATTAAAAGTCTATAATTTTTGTGATATTAAAAAAAAGGAAATGTCTAAAGAAGTATTGGATGCTGTAAGTTTTATTTATTTATTTTTTAAATCTTTAATATAATATTAAAATAGTTTAATAAGATGATATTTAGTCTACTCGAGAAAAGATATTTTAGATGTTTTTCTAAATTTCTAAAATTAAGGGGGTTTTTACAATTTTTGAAGGTGATTTATTTAATTAAGTAAAATTCGGGTTATTTTGACATACAGATCATGAGTGTTGAAAATTTGTATGGATAGACACTAAAAAAACTAACATCATGGAAAAACCAATATCTTTACAGCTTCGCATCAAAGCTAAAATACTAGAATTTTCAAAATAGTTTTTTTAAATTTTTAAATTTTAATTTACAAAATAATTTTTCAGTACAATTGAAAAAAAATCTTAACAAAAAAGTTATGATGAGTAGTGATGGGAAATATCTAATAGTAACTATCGAACTATTCGATAGTCATTCAAAAAGTTTTTGAATAGTAAAAATATTCGATAGTTTCACAATATATTCGAATAGATTAAAAACTATTCGAATAGTCTAAGCTAAAAATAAACTATTCGGTTGTATAAATACAATTTGAATAGTTAATCGATAGTTTAAAATATTTGAAAATGTCCATTACTAATTTTTACTATTATTAATTGTATAATCATTTATTTTAAGTATTCGTTAATTATCTTCTTATTATAATTAAGTGTATTGAATAAAAATTTTATGTAAAACTAATAGAATATTTTTTGAAATCATTCAGTTTTCAAGCCCATTCGAATAGTTTTTAAAACTATTTTTTTATCATTAAAAATGTCAATAATTTTTCCATAATACAAGTGGTATGATTTTTACTCAAAATATTTGAATCTTTATATTTGTACTCGCAGGAATTTATTTGAAGGATTCATTTTAACCCCCATTAATTTTTATTTGACTAAATTATTGATAGCTATAATTGATATCACTTCTACTTATTATGTATTTATTATATTATTATAACATCCTAATGTTTTAATTTTGATTACTACGTTTTCTATTCTATATTTTAAAATATTAACAACTTTCAAAAAAATGGGTTTAAAGTTGTCATCTTCAATAATTTCCTGAACTAGATCTTTCTTTACATTATTAGGTAGTTAAATATGTATAATGCCATAAAAAAATTAATGTTGATACCTCTTTAAGGTATAAAGGATGTATTAAAAAAACATATAATTAATGAATCAAAATATATGTAGGGATTAACAAAGATGTTAAATAACATGTCACAATGAATGCGTTTATATATGTTTATATGTTTTATCTTAGATGTACTGCAGTACGATAACACTCCGTGTATTTTCTTTAGTCTCGCGCTGTTCGTCAATCCAGTGACACTTTTTATTTTTACTCTTTTTTTTATGTTGTATAAAATCATTTTTCATTATTAAAAATTATTAATTATTATAAATTTTAATTGTAGTATTTTGTAATAAATATAAACACCAAAACACTACATATATATAAAACTAAAAACACCAAAAATGATTTTCTTAACATAATTATTATTTTAAGAGAAATTGAGTGAATAAGAGTGGCTATTAAAAGAATAACCCTATATTTTGTTACCTTAATTTATCATAAGCTATTGATAGCTAATACATTTTTTTGGAAAGAGACGTTCTTTCTATTTAATATATTGAATTAATATTAAAAATTGCAAAAATTCTCTTTAAAAATATTTTTAACTAACACTTAAATCATTTTTGTAGTTTTTTTTTTTTGTAATACAGGATTAAATGAAGTAAAATTACCCTTTTCCTTCCTATAGAATTATACTGTTTGATCCAAAATATAGATAAATTAATTGATAAAAAAAATAGTAAAAAAAGTAGAAAATTATAATAACATGAAAAATATAAATATAAATATAAAAGATAAGGTGTTGGGACAAATTTATTTTTAACTTATAGTAAAAAATCATAAGGTTTAATTTAAAACATGATAAATATTCTGAGTACTTTTGGAACATTTTCATAAGTTTAGTTGAACAAGTTCTATTTTTTATACATATGTTTCAATTTTTGAACCCTCTCTGTATAAGAGGAAATGGTTTATATTTTAAATTTATTTATTGGATGAAAAAAAAGTGTATAGAGTACTTATAAAAATTTGTATTAATCCATATATTTTTCAAAAAGTTATAGCAATTTAAAATTGGAAATATAAAATTTGACTACAAAAATAGCTCATTTTTTAACTTATATTATATGATATACACTTTAATTAATCATATGTTTTTAAGCTCTGAGTATTTTTAAAAATTTTTTTAAAGTTAAATTGAAAAAAAAGTGCAAAAAATTAAATATACCCGATAGGAATTGATCTTTAGCGGTTATAAGCAATCATTCCCAATCCGATAATTATACAATGCATTTGTTAAATGATAATATAAGCATTTTTTAAGTTTAAAAATTAAGCAAAAGTTAGTTTAAATTTTCAAAGTCCTTTGTTCTTGACATGAGAAGGTGGTATTGCCAAGAAATAACTACGGTAGCCATTTTCTTAAAGAAGATAGGTAGTCGGAACAATTTTTATTTTTTTTTTAGTATATAACATAAGCTTTAATTTGACATATGTTTTAAGGACGTAGTATTTTCAGAACATTTTTATAAGTTAAGTTGAAAAAGTTGAGTTTTTATGCAAAAGTTGCTATTTTGAATCCCTACCTAAATAAAAAATCATATTTCAAAAAAATTTATAATAAATAAAAAAAAATTTTTGATTCGTTCATTTTTCTAAAAGTTATGACAGTATTAAAAAAAGAGTATTAAATGTCAAAATTTACTGATTTTAAAAATCATCATTTTTTTGGGGATTTTCCAAATTTATGGGAATAAGGAAAAATTTTTATGAGCAATGTCGTCTTCAACTAGATAAAATATATGATTTTTTGATGTATTGTTGAAAGAAATCAGTCCAGTAAAACCTGAGAAAAAGTGGCAATAGACACACAAAAAAAAAAAAAACATAGTAAAATTAATACCTTTTCTACTTTACATTGAAGCAAAAAGAAAATTACAATTTTATATTAAAACAATATTGTTAAACATTTTTTTTGTAACATAATTTTTTTTACATATTATTATTTTGGTCTTTATTTTACAGATAGTGTGTATAAATCCAACTCAATTAAATTGTTTTGTTTCTGATGATTATATTATACAACAAATTTATAGTGAACAATTAGAAGATTTGATATTTAGTATAGCTCTTGCAGATGAATTATTGACATCAACATTTAGTCCCTTAATATTTGATTATATACTAAATAATATGGAAAATAAAAAAAAATTCAATCATGTAACTGATTTAGTGAATAGACTTCAACTAAGTCTTAAAATTAATAATAATGAAGAATTGACAACAAAGTTTATATCTCAAATAATTCAAAAGTAACTAATGAACTACAATATAATTATGAATTCTGATATAATTGATTCACTTATTAGAATAGAAAAAGGCTTAATTTGTTTTTTTTTGCATAATGTGTCTTTTTTATATAATTATTATTTTTTATTTAAAATTGTTTTTAAAATGTTGGCCTTGATATAGTACAAGAATTTACTTTGGTCATCTAAGATAATTTATTTAATTATATAATGGCTTTGATTAATGTAGTTGACACTTTTTATAGTAATAAGGCTTTACTTACAATAATTATTTACAACATATTAAAAATATTGATTTTATTTAAAAATAAATGTTCATAAACTGTCCTCATTCAGTGCTATTTCAAATATTGGTACAATTTGAATAATAATATTTTGAGTAGTAGATTATGATGTATTTTATTGATATATTAGTATGACACATTTTGTATATTGGTATGGAATCCTTACTAAATTTGTAGTTGGTCCCTTATCCCAATTAATGATTTAATTATAACAAAAATCTTATTGTATCACAAAATATTAAGACTTATAATTTTAATTTTTTTTTAAGTGTCTTGATAGCTATTGCTTGCTGTAGGCGGCTTTCATAATTCAGTCGGTAATGTGTTGTGTCTTGGTGCGTAGGTACTAGTGTTTGATTCTATTACTCTGGGCTATGTAGGTTTTCCTATCCTCTCTGGTACAAGCAATCTTATATCTATTCATTAATGTGCAACATGTTATTAACGAGTTATTTAAGCTCTATAATATTAGATTTTTTTTCCATTACTTAAATTACTTAAATTGTGAAAGATAATTTTATTTTATTATATAACAGTTTGATAGTTATTTTAAAGAAATCTTATTGTCCATTTATATATTTACAAATGCTGAAAAAATGTTTAATTATTGTTGAATCAGCTGAGGATATTTTCAGAGAAAACATAATTAGTGTACTTCAAGAATTGTTTCTTAGTAAGTTTTTTAGCTAAAAAAATTATAAATAATTAAATATTTATCAAATATTGACTTTAATTTTTTTTTCTAGATTTAGTATCTTATCAAAAAAGTATAGCTGATGGGCCAATTAAAATTTTAATTACTGAATTGTGTATTGCTGAATGTTTATATAAGGAAGTAATACACACTCATACAATTCAACTTTTAAATATTGTTGTATATTCTTTAGAAGTACCGCAATTAGCAGTTCAGGTAAAATAAAAAAGTAACTTTTTCCATGTACTATAATATCTATTTCAAATAAGTCTTATTGGGATAAATAAATAGTATCATTATCAATCATAGATAGACTTCTGTGGGAGAATTTCTGGTCTTTAAAAAATTGTCTTTGTTACTATTTTAGGGAATTGGTGTGTTAGAATGTTGTATAAATATACTACCTAACAATGTATTAGATGAATCAACACTTCATATTCGTAGTAAAATTGTCCAAGTTTTATGTAAATGTTTAAGTAGTCCATATGATTCTATTTCTCATCCTGCTGTGAGGTATTTATGTGAAACAATTACAGTTGGTATTTAAATGAAATACTAAAGTAATTAAAATTTTTCTTTCAAATATTTTAGCTTACTTGGTAAATTTGGTGGTCTAAATCGAAATGCGATTATAAAACCATACCAATTTTCAAACAAACATAAAAAAGATAATCCATCTATTCCAAAAATTACTGTTTCATTTCAAGGATATTTAAGTACCTCATTGGATTTGGATATAAGTAATGTATGTTAAAATTGTAATGTCTATACCCACATAAAAATTTATAGAAACCAGTCTTAACATTATTGTTGTTGAAGAAAAATTTATTTTTTAGTTAAAAGACCTACATAAGATATGATTAAAATATGTGATGAAAATCATATAAATTATGCATAAATTTATATGATACTGTAGAAATGCCTTTATTGCATATAACAAATATTTTGTTCAATAATATGATTATTTTATTTTAACAAAGAAAGTGACTGAGATTTAAATCTTTCAACTCATTTAAATTAAAATATGTTTTTTTAGGAAATTCTATTCTTGCACCCAGCTCATTAATTATTCTTTCTTTCTTCTTTTTCCGCGCTTTAATCTCAACTACTTGGGGTCAACCATTTAGTTATTCTATTATTAAAACTTTATAAAAATTAATCATATAAACTTGCTATTTTGTTAAAATATTGTGTGGGAAAAAATTACCTTATTTTTAAACAAAAAGCAATATAAATCTTATTAGAAAGAAAATAAAATTGTTATTAAAAGATTTCAAGTGAAACAAATTGTTCTTTTAGATTTATTAATAACTAATATTGATGATATTCTATCCTATAAAAATGGTGTTATATTTTATTATAAACACTATGTCACATAAAATAAACTGTAATTAAATTCTTATTTAATCTATTAAGAAGAATATTAAACTGAGTACATTTTTATTAATTATTGAAAAAAAAATATTTGTGCAACTTGTAATGTTTTATATAATAAGATAAATTATAATGATTAATTTCAAAATTGTTATATTTCAATCTCAATAATTTAATTTCAAAAATTAACAAAAAAGAAGAAGCTAACATGAAATTTTTTAATGTTTTGTAAAAATATGTACTAATTAATCTCTAGTACTTGATACTGAATTTGTTGATTAGTGGGATTTTTTCTATTTTAGGCTGTTAATACTGCTGTAGAAATATTAAAGACAAAAAGTAATCAGTATTATAGAAAAGAAAGTTGGAATATTATTAAAGGATTTTTTAATGTTTCATTACAGTGTGATGCTAAAGGAATCTTGAATGTCCTAACTAATATTAAGTAAGATTTGAGAATAAAGTAATCTTTATTTTAATTATTCTTCATTTTTTATGGTTTGTATACAGGTGGAATAAGAAACCAAATGCATTTGTGAAAACAGAATTAAACTATCTAATGACAGAATTAGAGGAAACTTATATCACAGCATTAACTGGTGCTCTTTTTAATTAAATATTTATTATCTATAAATTACAAGATATATATTTTTATTGTATTTTACATAGGACTAATGATATGTTTTGGTGATGATTGTTTTAAGTCAGAAAGTTGTACCTTATTTTCTGAAACTTTTAAACGAATGATTCTTCTTGCTATTTGTTATCATAGTAATATTCATTCTAAAGAAGATATTGGAGTACATCCATTTGTTTTAATTGATGCTATTACTAATATTTTATCTTTTGAAGATGTAACAGTTTTAAATGTTGGTATCCTAGCTACAGAAATGATTCTTAGAGCTTCACATAGCATTTTAGGGGACACGGTATGTAATTTAGAAATATTAATACTTTTATCATACAACAAAAAAAATTGGATAAAAATATTTTAAGAATTATTATTTTCTATTGTTATTATTATTAGTTCATTTTTTTTTTAATTAAATGCAATTGCGTTTAATATACATGAGAAATTTTTTAGTACCCACTCCAAAATCTTTATTATATATTTATTTTCATCATCTTAAGGTCATTAAACTTCGGGCTAATAAATTCAGAAATGAATTTAATCAAAGGTTGAGTAATATATTAAAAGGCAGATATATTAACTAAAATTATTCTACTAGGTATTGTTTAGTTTAGATCCATGTTAATCTTATGATATGTAAATATACATACAGAGAAATTCTGGAACATTTTAAAATATATATAAATATATTAATAATAAGTATATTTAAATATTCTTTTAAAAAAAATACATGTCTATGATATTCTTAAAAATTTCAGTTTGTACATTTATTTATAGACATGGAAAATTTTTGTCGAAAGAGTAAAAAAAAAATCAATTTGCCTAATTTCAACAATTGAAATTTTTGAAGAATTTTCCCCATTTATAGGGAAAAAGGGAATTTTTTTCAAAATTTAAAATTATCTTTTTCAACTAAAAATAAGAATAAATAGAATAAGTGATATCTTGATGTATTGTTTGTTAAATTAATTCAGTAGAAGTTGAGAATTTGTAGTGATAGACACACACAATTAATGTCTTCTCAGCTTAGCATATCAAAGCAAAAAATGTTTTATATTTTTTTATATAAAATTTTTTTTGTCATGTTTTCAAATAAATTGGTGACATTTAGAATGTGTATTGTGAGTTAAAAAATTATTATTTTCATTATTATTATCTTAACAATGTAAAGATATATTTACGAATGATGTCTTATTAAATATTAAGTACAACTATACTAAAAAAGTTCAAATATTTTCACAGATAATTTCCAAATTTATCTTGAAAGCAATAGTTAACTAGAGATCATAAAATTGGATAACTGAATAATTTTTATTCAAATATTTCCAATTTTTTTAATTTATTATATTAGCTAAATCTAAAAGATAGAAAAGAATGATAAAAAACTTGCACGTGATGACTAATTTAATATAATATACATGTAATATTTTTGTTTATATGTTATAGATTGTGCAGTTTCCTTTAATATCATATTTATTAAAATGTTTTTGTGAACTTTGTTATGATATTGATTGGCTTCATAAGCGTGGAGGCTGCATGGGGCTTAAAGTTTTGTATTCACATTTATTAAAAAAGAAGAGTGAAGAGAATATTTTGCCTTTACCTATTATTAATTGGTTTTACAAAAATTTGTCTAATACGTTCAAAGCAATGATGTTCATTTTTGCCGACTATAATAATCAAGTAATTTTTTCCTTTCATAATTTAAACGAATTAAATTAATTATATGGTATTTTAGCTTACATTTGGTGTTATTGAACAAGCACAATGCAATTTGATTGATCTAATGAAGTGGGTATTTTCTATAAATCATGACACAACAGATCAGTTGAAAAAACTTGAAATTGAAAAAATTATGAGATTATTAATTGATTACATTGTTGGACCTAATGAACTATTAAGAGAACAAGTAAGACTCTGGGTAACTTAATTCCTAGCAGTTCTAGATATTAATAAGTTTATATTTCAGGCAAATATTTTAGTCGATCTTCTATCAGAGCTAAGAAATTTAACAGTTTTTAACATGTTTGAAGCTTACAATGAAATGTTTAAATTAGCTATTCCAGGAAAACAACCATATAATACTTATAATTACAATAATCAATTAGGAGTTATGAAAGGGCATATATTTTGCATGAAAAACAAAATTCCTGCTGGTAATTTGGGTAAGATATTAATTTTTCTAACCTAATAAATAGTATTAATTCAATTAAAAAAATTAGACTAAAATTATAGTTTATATTAGTTATCCAGTTACAAAAGAACAACTTTGAAAAAATAATTTTTTTTTTCTTAGTTGTGTTATTTAATTGGCTACAATAAGCAAAATTAAAACATTAATGATATGAGCTCTTTTGTTGGTGGATGACTTAAATAATCTTATTAATATGAAAGGAATTTTTGTATTTTATAATACATATAATTTTAGATTTTTCAAATCAAAGACATAAAGAATATTTTTATGTCCTATGTAATATTTGTGAATGTAGTAATAAAGATATTCCAATAATGTCATTTTTAAAATCATTATCTGCTTCTCAAGTACAAGTACTTCGGAAAACTGCTTTACAAGTGTTGGTAAATTGTAGACAATTTGTTAAGCCCTTAGAATGCAGATTTATTTATAAATTACTTTACAATGCTTTGAAAGGATTCAATCTTGAGCTACAAGAAACTGCTTATGAATGTTTAAAATTATGTGTCAGTGATTCAAATATTGATCTAACAATTGTAAGAAATTAAACTATAATTTAAATGTTTTAAAAGTCTAAATTATTTTTTATACATTGTATTAAGGTGGACGAACTGTTATTATATCATACTAATTTATTTCAAGATTACTCAATGATAACTATGTCTAAAGTTAAATGTGTTTACTATTTGTCAAAATTGTTTCCTAATAGACCAAACACTATATTTTGCACAACATTATTGGATATATTTAAATATATATGGACAGACTTGCACTATAATAAAATAAGTATGTAAAATTGTTATTTTAATTATAAATTAATTACTCCCATTCAATAGTAGTAGAATTTGATTACTTCCATTGTAAAATGAGAAATTTTGTTATTGTAATTTTATTTTAAAACTAATGTCTATTTTAAATACTATGCTTAATCAAATTGATATCCCAGATATATTTTTAGTAACTCAAAAATCAAAATTTTTAGTATAATGATTTAAAAAATAATTTTTTATGTTACCTTTATTGTATAACTCAATTTTAAAAATGTCTATTTTACTGAACAATAACTTTGCAATATTGAATTAAATTTATAAACTTTTAATGTTGAATAATGAACTACAACTTAGAGATTAAAACTCAAAATCTTATTGTTTTGAGTTGTTGAAGTTTTAAACAAGGTGTCAAATTGTCTGTATCTAATGTTTTCTATATATATTCATTTGTGAATTAATTATTTTAAAAAAAATAACATAATATGAAATCTTAATTTTTTATTTTATTTTTAAACAAATCAATAGGAATAAAATAGTCATACAGTAACAAAAAGTAGGCAACTTTTAAATAAATAATAATTAAATCATTGCAGTATTTAATTATAGTTAAAAAAATTTTTTTTTATAAAGCAACATTATTTAAATAATACTTAGAACGATTATTTAAACAGTAATTTAACACTATTCAAAGATGATCAACTACTTAAACCATTGCCAGATACTATTCTGCGCCTCACCTTTTCTAAATCTTCAATTATAACATATTTAACAACATAGATATTTAAAAGAAGTAGTATTTCCTGAACATTATCAAAAGTTAAGTTGTTAGTTGAAAAAGTTCTACTTTTTATACAAATATTCAAGTTTTCCAAAATTCAAATTAGCTTTTCTTAACATTGAACAGACAAAATAATCAAAATAAGTATAAATTTATATTTAATGTAAGTTAGACTCATGTGAATCTTATATTTATTAATGGACTCAATACTATGGCAAACCCTTATAAGGTATTTTAAAATAAACCAAAAAAAAAAATAAATTTTGAACACGAAAATAGCATGTTTATAACCTTGGCAGGGTTATAATGGCACCTTGGCCATTTTCTTAAAGAAGATAGGTAGTCAGGACAATTTTTTTTAGTACGTAACATAAGCTTTAATTTGACATATGTTTTAAGGACGCAGTATTTTCAGAACATTTTTAAAAGTTAAGTTGAAAAAGTTGAGTTTTGCTATTTTGAATCCCCTTATGAGCGTAGGTAAAAGGTCAGATTTTCAAAAATACTATATAAAATAAAAGGGATTTATATAAAAAATGTATTTTAATTTGTTAATTTTTCAATAAGTTATGGCAATTTAAAAAAAAAGAAAGAAAAAATTTCGTAATTTTCTAATTATAAAAATCGTAATTTTTTTGGGGGATATCCACATTTATGGTGAACGAGGGAAAAATGATCAATTTTTGAGGTAATATTGTTGTATTGTTGAGGAAAATCGGTCCTGAGAAAAAGTAGTGACAGACACAAAAATATAATAAACACATCATGATAAAATTAATACTTTCTCAGTTTTGCATCGAAGCTGAGAAATGATCTATGAAAATGAAAAAAACAATAATTTGAATTCAAAAAAATTATTGAATTAATTGTTAAAACAAATAGTCATTTTCAGGAAAATATAATTTATGTTGAATCATTTACATAACCCAACCATACATTTAGCATAAATAGTATACAATATTATTTTTTTTTAGAAACAGTGAAGTATGATCATGAAACACTATTAGTAAACATAATAGAGGTTATTAGTATAATAATACCTACTGAATTTTGTCATATAGAAGAAATCTGTGAGATAATTTTAAATAGGGACATTGTTAAAAATGAATTAAGAATTAAATTGTATCCTTTATTACTTGAATGTTTGTTAAAATTTCCTTCTAATAGTGTCCTTATGTTTTTTCGAGAGAAAAATATAAAGGTAACATTTTTATTTATTTATTCTTTTTAGTTATTTTATGTATTGATATTTTTATTTTCCACCTATAGAAACCATGTTGGTCATCTTTTTTACATGAAATGATCAATAATTCAAAATGCCAAGAAATTAGGAATGTGTTGACATCTAATTCTAATTACATTGAATCATTATTAGCATCTGCTAGAATTGGTTAGTATTAAAGTGATTGAAAAAATTTCAAATGTAGAATATTGTTTATTTGAATTCATTGATTGATTTTTAATATTTAAATTTTCATTTGTAGATCCATCAAAAATTATACAATATGAATGTATTAAAACAATTTATAATCTTACAAAAATGGAAAAAGATTGGATTTCTCCTTCTAAAAGTATTGTTAGTATGCTTCAAAATATGTGGATTAATCCACAATACAAAGTAATTATAGTTATTTACTATTACCCATATCTAAAAAATATTTGTTGTAAAAATTATTTGTATAATAAATAGAAAGCTGTGATAAAAATTTATTAGTTTAATTTTTTAAATATTTTAGATTTAAGTGGAAAATTGTTTTTTGTTTCATTTTAGCTTATAGTTGTTGTATTTAAGATTTTATGATTATTTCTCAACTATTTTAGGATCGTTATAAAAATTTATCATTAATTAAATCAACAGAATGGGATGAGCCAAAAATGATGTTGAAAATTTTATTAGAATATTTTCGAAACAACCGAGAAGAAATTCAATTACTTTTTCAATTACTAACAGTGTTTAATTGTCAATATCCAACAGATATTCATGTGAGTTTTGTTAGAAAATAATTCTATGTATCTTATTTTAATTTCATCTATAATTTATTCATTTTTATTTAAATAGTTTTTTCGGGTCATGTTAGAAAATGAAATAGCATCATCATTTCCAATATTTTGGAAACGAAAAGTTTTTTTTGAATTCATTGAACTATATCAAAATAAGAATTCTAATAATGATATTTTGTCAAGCATTCTTCAATATATTATATTACCTTGTTTTTCAAATTGTTATAAAAAAGGTGAGAAAGAAGAATTATTATGTCTGAATAAGAGCTCAGAAGAAAATATTATTGATGTTTTTTTAAACAAAGTAAGATAATATTTCAATTTTATTAATATGTTTCAATATTTACTTATCTTAGTCACATAAGAAAATTGTATGAAAAGTTATTATTTTAAAATTTTTATTTTTCAACTATGTCATAGTGTCACAGTGTTAAAATATTAGAAATGAAAAAAGAAGTATCACTTCTTATGAACAATTAACATACATAACTAAAAAAAATACATTGCTTTAATATATCTTATTTTTACATTGATGCAATATTGTTTCCATATTCTTTTATTAGAAATAAATTTAATAAAGTAAAATTTCACCTACTAGTATTTAATACATATACTGTATAATTATAATACTTTTATGTGTTGATATATAGGTTGTGAGGTTCAGTAAATATATTTTGTGCAGATAAGCTCTAGTATTAAGTCTATCACTTTTTGTTTACCCTAACAATACTCAATTAATTATACTTAAAAATCAAAACTAACTTCTCACTATGGAGCCTTTTTTAAATAGTATTTTATTAAACCACACTCATCTCAAAATAGGTCTTTTACATAAAATAACTTCAGTTTAAACCCAAGATAGTCCTTGTATTACTAAAGGTTATAGCTATTAACACCAGTAAGAACAGAGAACTAGTACAAAATTTGATTAGACGATTAAAAAATATTTATGGCAAGTTGGTTAGCTTTTACTAGAAAATACAAATGAGAATTTAAAGTTTGATTTATCATTTTCTTTACCTCTGGCTGTTACAAATACAACAAAATATTATATTTTAAAGATATCTAAGAGCTACTTTTCAAAAACACAATGAATAATTAATATCATAAATAAAATTTCTAATACAGTTTGGACACTTGAAAATATTTATAAATCAACATTTATATTTAAGTCAATTATTATTTTTCAAGCCATATTAGATGTTGTTGGCTTTTGAATATATGACCAATTAAGAGTTTGATAGGTGGCAAAATAAACACAATATTCCAAGTAAATAGGGAAACAAAAAACCAGTGTCTTAAAATTTTTCATTATGTCTAACAAATTAAATAAATTTAGTTGATATCAAACAACCTTGTGGTTAATAAAAGAAATTTGTATAGTATGCATTCAATATCTTAATATTTTGCATTTTAATTTTTAGATATTCATTAATATACGAACTGCACTACTTGGATATGATTTTGATGGTATAAAAATATATGTTTGTCAACTTATTTGTTTGTTAATAGAAGATTTATTAAAATTTGATGAAAAAATATGTGATTCCATGTACAACGCTGTAATACCATGTACATGGGTTCGGTGTTCTATGGATATAAATGTTAAATTTCATTGTTACTTAATTTTAACTTGTATAATGTTATCTGAAAATACTTCAAAAAGAGAAAAACTAAATCAAGGTAATTTTTGTATTCATATAATTCATTAGAGCACTTTGTATTATTTATTATTTTAGGTATTTATTATGAACTCTTGAAAGCAAGTTTTGCTGAAGCTCAGCCTGTTATCAATCACGCATTAAATTTAATTGTTTCTGCGGTCTGGGAAAAGAATAATGAAGTTAATACTTTAGTGGTTTGTGTGAAAAAAATTATGATGACTGAATCACAAAATGTTCCCACTCTTCATCATATTTGTTCATTTTTAATCAAATATAACTCTGTATGTGTTGTTTTAAATTTATGACACTAGTTATTTTTGTTTTATACATTACTAATTATTATTTTTTACTTCTATATAGTTGTTTTATCCTTACAAGCAGTTTTTAATACGTAATATTTTAGGAGCATTATTTCCTATTGCAAAAAATAATAATGTACCCGAGTACAAAAAAACCGCTATTGAATTGGCTTGTATGGTAATCAAATGGGAACTAACTAATAGTGATGAAAATATAGTAAGGTTATTATTCAAAACTTTTTTTTTAATTTAATCAAGTAATCTTAATTTTAGAAATTAAAATTTCCTTTAAAACGAAAAATTGAAGATACAGAAACAAATGTAAATAATAAGGAAGAAAAATCTGCAAATGACACTTTACAACCACGTCAAAAAGGTTCATCAGAAACAATTGATAATTGTTTAAATTTTTTAGCTATGGTTGGATGTCAAGTATGTTATATTCATATATTTATATGTAAATACAAGTGAATTTTATTAATATAGTATTGCATGGAACCATAATATAGAACTATACAAAATGCTGTATTATTAGAGTTTTTATATGCCTTTATATCCTTTAAGTTAGTCAAAAACAAATTTACTTTATCATTTTACATAGTCAAATTTAATCTTGAAATAACCTGCCCTTAAAGTTATTCAAGTTCATTAAAAATATAAAATTTGTTTACTCCTAAATTATATTTGAAAAAATAAATGATATTTGTATGGTATTCACTAAATATGAAAATGAGCTCATGAATGTGCAGTCTTGGAAGACATTCTTTCTAAACAAAGATATTATTATTATATAGAGGTGGGCAAGAACTACCTATACACTCAGACCTATAGGTATATTGTGTACATCTTCTACCAAATTATATTAATTAGATTTCTTCACATAAGTGTTTTCACCAAAGTATTGATGTCATTATTTATATACCTAACACTGTAAATATACAGAGTGTTTCTTATATCATAATCCACTTAATTACTCGGAGAATAAAAATAATTAAAAAAAAAAAATTTTGATACTCTTAGTTACATATTGTTTTCCAATTATTAGCTATATAATACTTTTTAAGTTCATCCTTTATACTTTATTAAGATGTCAACTTTGTAGGGGATGTTATTTTGGTGAACAGAATATCCCAGTTTACTTTGGTCTATCGCTTTTAGTATTTTACTATATTCTACGGTGTCGCTATCCATAGCCCACATATCTAATTTGTGGAGTGTTAGTGTTGCAGCATTGGAATGAGCTTAATCCTGTTCGCAGGGTCTTGACAACTCTATGGATATAATTTCAAAATAGCCATTTTGTAGTCCTTTTCTTATAAAAAATGTTAGTAAATGATGATAATTTTTGGATAAGGACTTATCAAGGTGCAAACATTTTAATATATAGAGTGGAAATGGGTTGTGGATTGATAATACTTACACTAGTATAAGCTACACCTACCCATGTTATATACCCACTATATGATAAATACTTTTAACTTTCATAATTTTTTAAACTTAAAATGATTTTTAAATAAATAATTAAATTTATTAGACTCATGATGACAAACAAGAAAGTAGTATCAGTCAATTAGCTGCGAGAAGTGTAAAATTGTTCAAAAATATATTAAGTAATGAGGCAATAAATCTTCATGAAGTTACTTTAAAATTTGGTTGGATTGAGAAACTTTTGGAAACTTTTTTGAAAAAAGAAAATCTCATAATTCAAAATCCCAGTGCGATAGGAAACAGCAATGCTAGTGTTATGAATCTTGTGACTACATTTGATGTACTTTGCTTTATGCTTAATGTGTTATCAAAAAAATTAATGTTAGAAGCTGTTAAACCTTTACAAGATTATTTAATCAAATTCTTACAGTTGGCATACAAAGAGGTATTAAATATTTAGTTTTTTTTTTTCTGAATAATACTTTTATAAATTATTATTATTAATAATTATCATTATCCTTAATCATGTCTAAGGTTCTCTCTAAAAGCTATTGCTTATACCTGAGAGAACGGGAAAACTTACATAGCTCAGGGTAACAGAATCAAATCATGGTGTTTAGATACCATAGTACGACCGGTTACTAACTGAGCTAGGTAATAGCCTTATAATATTATAATTTGATTAAAAATATTTTATGCTACAGACTCAGATTGGTAATAATGGAAACCCCCAAAAAGATTCTACTAACAATCGCCTTAGTATTATTCAAATAAAACAGGTATTATTCCACTATAATACTTAAATATAATATTTAAAATTTTTAAAAATTAGCTAGTTCACATAATTACGCATTATAATTAAAAATACATTCATTCATTTAATTTCTATAATTTATTCATTAGTTGAATTTATGTATCCCGTACTTAATCTTACTATTAATTATTTATTTCTAGTACAATGAAGGTGCTGTAAATGTTGTTGTTGAAATATTAAAAGCATTTCCTACTAGTGAAGGTTTAGAGAAACTTCACATTTATGTTAAACTTGTAAGTGTTTAAAATGTTTCTATAAATATGCATACACATAATATAAAATTGTATATACATATTGTTATTTTAGATAATTACTGAAGGAATTGTTAATAATAAATGTCCCTATAAAATGGCCCTTAGTCTTACTTTATTGAAAGCAGCTCAATTAAACTATCCACACTACTTGGAAAATGATATTATGAATTTAATTGGTGATTTATTATTTCGTTTTGATAAAAGTTAGTAAAGTGTATAGTTTATTTATTGAACCAATATGTACAGTTTAGGTATTTCAAATGTACTTGTATAAAAATAATTTATAAGAAAATTATGTTTTTATTAATGAGTGTGTTTTATATAATCAGAATATAAATTTTATTTTATGTTTAATGGATGTCTTTTGCAGATAACAGAAAAACAAAAATAAAGATAGAATGTTTAGAAATTTTAAAAAATCATGTTAAAAATTTGCCAAAATTTACACAACGTATATTTTTTGAAAAAGTTTTAATAGTTCTCTTAAATAATGCAAAAGATTATAAAAATAACATGCCAGTTGAAGTGCAAATAAAATGTTTAGATCTTGTCTATATATTTTTGGGAGAAATGCCGGGATTGATAGAAGAAGTACTTTTAAAATCATCTATAATTGATTATATAAAAAATACAACTGATGAGCGAATCATAACTATAATTTTAAAAGTGAGTATTCATGTGTTGGTTTCTTTTTATTTTAGTTTAGTAAACTTTATATTGTATTTAAATTAAATCACATAACAACTCCAATAAAATTAATTTTAACCACTAAATGAATGTTTTAAATGGGTTTTATTAACCCCCACTTAAAATTTGGTTTAACTAAAAATATTTGATTTTTAAAACTGGTTTAAAACACATTTATTTATAATTTATCAGTAAAATGTATCATATATGAGATAAAATTGGCAAATTCTGTTGGTGTATTTAAATAATATAATTATCCTATTTATTTAACAAGTGTCAATAAATTGAAAAATTATGTTTTTTATTTGAAAGAGAGATGCAATATAAAATTAGCTAGGTCTCATACATACTAATATATTCTTAGATGGTACATTAGTCAATTAAAGAACAGGTAAACATTTCTGATTTATCTCTCAAACCAATATATTATAATATCAGTGAACTAATCTAAATACATTTAATGAGTTTTAAAATAAAGTGATTTAGTATCTTTATATAGTAAGTATGCTTACAGTGGTTTGTCTCATATGTATGTTCAAAATGGTCTGCTTTAGATCTTAAAAATTAGTTTTATTTGTGCCTATTAAAATTTCAACAATTCTTAATTATTTCATTATACAGAGTGATCTAAATATAGTAAAACACTAATTTTTTAGAAACTATTGAGAATATTTAAATTTTATAAAGAGAAATAATATTAGGTTCAAAAAACTAAAATAATATGTAGTTAAACTTTTATTTTAGTGTTTTCAGGGATAAAAATCCTTATATATAATTTTCTTATATGGGGGGAATTCCTATTTTTAACTTTATAATATAATAGAACAAAAAAATACAAACTATTTTGTTCATACAATTTTTTTTGTATGATCAACCGTTTGCATTTTACAACTGTTTAAAAATTTGGATGTTAAGTAAAAATTTATCATTGATTTTGTAGTACCAGTGGCAGCACAACCAATATTATTGCTGCCACCTTGGTGTCAATAATCTATTATGATAGCCCATAAATTAATTATTATGATAGTTATTAAAAAAAATTTTCTACGTCAATTTATCGTTAATATATATTTTAAACTGGTTTATGAGAAACATAAAAAAATAAATGATATATAAAAGAAAAATGATGACTTTATGTACTATGGTATTTATCAAGAAAAATTTGCCACATTGGTTATCTAAATGAGGGATAACAATAATATATTGTCACTATTGAAATAGATTATTGCTGCCATTGGTATTATAAAACCAAATCAAATTGAATTTTTAACTGACATCCAAGTCTTTAAATTATTTGTAAAACGCAAACAGATTGATCAGATAAAAAAATTGCAAGAATAAAGTTGTTAGTTTTTTTTTCTATCATATTATTAAGTTAAAAAAAGGGGTTTCCATTTAAAAAAATTAAAAATTAAAAATAAAAATTTTTATCCTTGAAGATATAAAAAAAAATGATTTAACTACATATAATTGTAGAGTTTTTTAAATTTAATATTTCTTTCTTTACAAAAATTTAAAATTCTCAATAGTTTTTGAGAAAATGTTTTTTACAATATTTTCTAATCATTTTAAATAATGTTTTATGAATTCATCGAAATTCCTAAAAATAATTTGTACATGTATAGTTTAAAGTTTATTGTATTTCATATAATTTTCCTAGTAAAATGTGATTCAAATTATTAAAAATATAATTATAGATTATTAAAAAGTGGATCGAGTTATGTGAAGATGAATCAGTTCCTTGTAATAACAATATTGTTTATATTTTGAAGTATATTATTGCAATTGGTCATTTTCCGAATTCCAGTGAATTGTGCCACAATCTTAACATAGATATTTACAAGTAACTAATATAGTTAAATTATTTAAATTTTATATTTCATTTCAAATATAAACATTTTAGGCGATGGTTTTATAATGAATGTATTGATCATGGCCTTAAATGTTCAGTTCCATCAATAAGACGTGAATTTTTCAATATTTTTGAATCGACAATGGAAAAAACATTGTATTATAGATTGTATTCAATTATAAACAATTTAACATACCTTAATGGTGAACTTTCAGCAGCAAATTATCTTCAATTATTGTTAGTTTTAACATCAAAAAGCAGTATTCTACAAGGAAACTTTTCTTTATTAAAAATCAATAATTCTATCAGCTTTCACTCAACAGTAAGAAATTTATTTGTTCTTAAAAATAATCAGTGATACTAATTTTTCTTATGAACTCAAGTTAAAAATACCAGATCGATTAAATTGGTTAAAAGAAACTACTTTGGAAACTATTCAAACTTATGATATATGTAATTCATTATCTCAGTTATGTTTTATTGATAATAACTTAGCAAAAAAATTATGGATATCAATTATACCTAGTATTTGGAAACTATTTTCTAATATACAAAGGAAATCCTTAGCACATGCCACTATTAACTACTTGGAAATAAGCCACCATGGTAATGATTTTTCGACTATACTTTATGAGTCATTTTCCTTATGTGAGCCTAAAATCAATTTTAAACCGTAAGCACCATTTCATATTATAATTTAAAATATCTATGAGTATAACAATTAATCTAAGATTGGTAATTTTTATTTATTTAACAGTCATCAACTTGTACACATTGGAAAAACATACAATTTGTGGCATCGAGTTATTATTGAATTGGAAAATATGTTACATACAAATTTAAATGAATCTCATCAAAATGTTAGTGTTATCATTATTATTATTATTTTAATCAATCAAAATTCATTTATATATAGTGCATAAATTTGTTTTAAAGGAAATCATTCATGCTTTGTCCAAATTGTATTCATTGTTAAATGAGTATGACTTTCTAGAAGCTATGTATCAAAATATATTAGAAAGATCAGAAACCAAATCAGCTTTATTTCTTGAGCATCTTGGAGATTTTAAAAATGCATCTGAAATCTATACTAAATTGATTTATCGCGAGAGTAACAAATGTCCGCGTATACATTTTTGTCACCAAAACTTTTTTGAACAAAATGTTTGGAAAACTCATTTATTCAAGTATTATTCAATAATTTAATTATTTTTATCATATGGCAAGAGTTAACTATAATTTACCTATTCATTTTCATATTTATTAAGGTGTTTAAGAGAGCTAAATGAATGGGAATATATATCAGATGTCTTATCAAATGATGATTGTTTTTTGTTAAATATTGAAAGTGTATGGAAAAAATCTCCTAAGTCTTCATATGTACACCACTATAATCTTATGCTAGATTATTTAGAAAAAAATCAATTTATTTGGCCAACTAAGACTATTTGGAAAGTATGTGAAGTATTTAACGGATATTATATATAATTTATTAAAATTGAAATAATTTTAAAAGTATCTTTAAAATATTGCAGTATCATTTTTATCTCTCAATGATTGCTTTGAATCAATTAACCCAAAAGTGTATTTCGACAGCACATGAACATATAAACCTTGCAACAAAAGAAATAATAGATAATTGGAAATCATTACCATATCATGTTTGTAATGTACACATACCTTTACTCCAAGCAACTCAATTGGTCAGGAAAAATAAATATCATTGAATTTTAATTTTTAAGTAGACTTATTATTTGATTATTAAATGATTTATTAAGGTGGTTGAAACTCGCGAAGCACATTGTTTACAAAGTAGTTGGCTTTATACTCAAGAAAATATGAATAACATTGATGTATTGGTTGAAACATGGAATGATCGCACTGCATGGATTGGTGATGATTTGAGTTTTTGGAAAGATATAGATACATGGCGACAAACATATTATTCTTTTTTGACACTTCGCAATGCTAATATAGAAATGCCACACACAAAAATTGCTCAAGTATGAGAGTATTTCTTTATTTATTAACTTGTAGTTAGTTTAGTTATAATTTTTATAGAAGTAAGCAACAACTGCCCATATACTCTGACTTATAAGAATATTTTGAGGGATTGCTCCGTGAGTCCTACTATTGATTTTCGTCCAACATAAGTGTTTTCTGCACCTTTACTCATTAGAAAGTCTGTTTTTTCATCACTAGTCACATTGATGTGTTCTGGTGTACATGCCAGTGTAATTTTATTGAACCTTGCTAGTGATTCTAAAGTTTCCTAACATCTAAAGACTAGCCATGAAGTCATGTGTTTATTGGGTCTGAGGACTCATTCATATGGTAGGTATCCTGAGGCCTCTATAATTATTTTACCATCACTTAATGTTACCACAATAGTTATGTAATAGTCTGAACTTGACAAATTGAGTAACTAGTTGGTTTTTATTTTATCATTAGCCATAGTGCAGAAATTTGGTTTATTTGGCTGTAAAACAGTATAAAGTCTCTTAATTTGATTACCATTTAAATAATAGTACTTATTTAGATACTGAATAATTGCTATTTGTATGCCTCAGAGTTAGAGTCCTTAGCAGTACACTACTGGCCCCTTTACTGTTATGCAGATTGATTTGCAATTATATAATATTGTCATTATGATCGCCACTGAGTTTCTTAAGATTAATTATTAGACCTTTGATACTTTCAGTAACTGCTTCCAGTTGGTCTTATGACTCCTGGTCTGCATCTGCTGACATAAATAATTTTTATACATTTTTAGTTTTAAATTAATACTTTAAATATATTTTTAATTTTAAATAACATTAGGAACAATAATCAGTTATTATTATATAATTTATCTCATATATTTATCACTGATTTTGGCTGATCCCAAGTAGTTGGTTTAAGGCGAGGAAAATTATGATACGATAGGTATCTTAGTGATAGACTAAGTTATCACAATTTTTTTTCTTAATCAAAAACATTTTCATTTTATGTTTTATATTAAGAATAGTTTTTATTTTAATAGATTCAATCTGAGTTAAAATATTGTGAAGCGGCTTTTAGTCATAAAATGTTTAATATTTGCTTAAATTCATTGGAATATTTAAGTTCTAAAGAAATTAATTTACCTAACTGGCTGTACAAATTAAATTTAGAAATAAAATGTTTGAAAGAAATTGAAGATGAAGGAAACTACAGGAAGAAAGATGTAAAAATAATTTATTATTTTTTCTTAGTTTTGTTTAAAACTTTTTGAACTAACTAATCTAAGCAGTTAAGTTTTATAAAATGTGTATTGATTTTAGTTGTTGAATCACATGGAATCCACATTTAACGAGTCTTTTTCAAATGAAATAAAATCAATTTATTATGCTCTCAAAGGGTCACTTTATAATTCTTGTGATGAAATTGAGAGAGCATTTATTGCATACATAAATTCAGCTACTTTTCAGAGTAACTTATCAAATAAAGAAACTGACTGGAATAGTGTTATTGAAAATCATTTTATATCTAATTGTACTGGTAGTCAAAAAATTAGCGAAGAAAAAAATAAATCTGATAATTTGATTGAAAATTGTGAAATAATTGGCAAAGCTTGGACTGAATGGGGGAAATTATTAGAAAATAAGTTTTTACTTGAAAATGATGTGAATTATGGCTTATCTGCTATTAAGTGTTATATAATTGCATTGCCATTAGTTAACAAAATTCATTATAATTTTTCAATAGCTAGAGTAAGTTATTTATTATGTTTTGTTTAAATATCAATAAAATATTGTTTTTTTTCTTTTGATAGATTATATGGTTATTGACTTATGACAATATAAATAATATGTTATTGCTTGTACTTGAAAGGTGTAATATTTGCATAAATTATGGTTTATGGATGCCACAAATGTTGAACACTCTTGTGGATAAAGATTGTCTCAATATTGAAAATATTATTTTACAAGTAAACTTCATTAAATTTTATATTATTGAAAAATGTATAGAAAGATGTATAAATTATTAATGAATTTGATGAAACTAAACATAAATATTAATTTTAATTCATAAGGTTTTAAAGTAACTGTGCTTTTGTCAATAGTATAATTTTTTTCACAATAATAAAGTTATTAAAAAAATTTTTCATAAAATACTATTAAAATTAATTAATTAATTTTTATTTCAGGCTGCTCATAATTGTCCTCAAACTATGTACTTAACGTTAAGAAAGATGTATGTCAATGAAAAGGTTCAAAAGGAAAAAGTAATTTTTTACATCTTTTAATTTAAAATTTACTATATTAAATTTAATAAATCTATTAAACAAATGTTATTATTTATTTTAGAAAATATCTATTTTAAAAAATCAAGCTGGTAAGAATAATTTTTTCTTTTATTATTTTTTGTAAAATAAATCATCATTATGTGTGCTGTTTTAGAAATAAATGCTGAATCAGAGCGTATTAATAAAAAAATGCACAGAATAAAAAAATTTATGAGCTTATTACAAAATAAAAATTTAGTTTTTATTCAACTTGAATATTTTGTACAACATGTAAGAAAAAAACCTGAAATTTGTATGTCAGGATTACAATTATTATTATACTTTTTGTAGATTTTCATCTTAGGTGAAAGTTGGGATGAAGAATTACGGCGAAATCTATATGAATGTTTGTCTTTATGTTATGAGCATGCATATCTAAACAAAAGTTTGAATGTTCCAATTTCAACTGAAATTTATAATTTCATTTCAAATGTAGCTAAATCGTTTTGTAACCAAAGTCTAAACCCAAGTAAATACTTATATTAAAATTAGATAAATAAATATAAATATTTTCTTTTTAAGTTAAAATATTTTTCTTGGTAATTTATATTTAATAAATAATTCCTAATGACTATTATAAATTAAGCTATACAACTATATAAAATAAATATCATTATTTTTAACTGTTTTGAATTTTTTTAAGTTAAATATTTTTAAATATATTATTTATATTATTTACAAATAAATTGTAACTTGTGTAAAGTTGTAACTATAGAATGCAACATTGGAACTGTTACTATTGCTCTAAAGATTACCTTATGTAATCAGTTTGCACAATACTAAAAATATGGATATATTTGTAATTCTAAATAATACTATAAACCATGTAAGCTTTAACACATTAAGATGTACAACCTTTTGGCAATATATTTTATTAATGATTTTGATTTAGTTATGGCATTCACTTTAAAGCTAATTAGTTTATTAAACGTGCCAATTTTTTATTACTATTTTAGAAGAACTTATGCTGAAGAAGCCTTTTTCAATTCCGGACAAGCTATCTCAATTCTACGAATCATTTAAGAAAAAATTTTCTCATGATTTTAGTTCACCTTCTATGAGTGTTGAAACTATGACAAATTATTTAGGATTATGGATAAAATGTTTAGAAAAATTTGCAAATTATCAAACAGTATTTTTACACGAATCTCGTTGTCCAGGAATTCACAACATTGATTGGTCAATGATTAAATTACCAGGAGATTTGTACTATTCAAAAGTAACGATTAATGTTTGAAGTTGAAAACTAATTTTTATCATTAATTTTGTTTTTTAGGAAACTTCAAGTATTGTGAAAATACAAAATTTTAGCGGTTTTGTGCATCTTATTGATAAAGATGGTACAATTGTTAAACAATTAAATATTAGGGGTACTGATGGTTTTGAGTATAGTTATATTGTGTCAAAAGGAGAATTTAATGAATCAGAACAAAGAATTCATCAAATATTTTTTATGACTAACAGCTTATTATATAATTATAAAGTAATACATTTTTTAATTATTTTTTTTTCTAAAACTATATTTGTGGAATGTTATTAGTATGCAAACAATTATATACTACTATTTTTTAATATAATAAATCTTTTTTTTTTCTTTAGGAGACAGCAAGACGAAACTTAAAATATTTTGTACCAAGAATGCTTACTTTATCACCATATTTAAGAATAGTTGAGGGTTATTTTAAAAATTTATCACTCTTAAGCATATACAATAAAATAAACAAAAGCTCTTGGATAAATGAAGACATTGATTCTTATTTCTCTATTTTAAAAAAATGTTTAGAGGTGTGTATCAACTTAATATTACTGGTGAATAATCAAAATAATATATATTATTAAAATATTTCAGTCTAAGAACCCTTTAAAAAATACTTTTGATATCATGCAAAAAAATCTTCATTCAAAAAATTTTTTGACCGAATGGACTGAAATGAATTTTGAAACTCCATCAGATAATTGGATATTTCGTAAAACTGTAAGATTAAAAAAAGAACGTTTTAAATTTACATTGTTTCTATGAATAGTTCAAAAAGTATAGGGACTCAAAAAAATGAATGTATATGTAAAAATTGTAGATTTCTCTGATTAAAATAATATATAAAATTAGTTATTGATTGTTCTTGTATGAGCATGAGAATAATTGAGTTACTATGTATTTATAAAACAAATATATATAATATAATTTTCATTTTGGGAATTTGAGTATGAGGGTTTTATGAGAAGATGTAAAATATAGAAAAACAAATTGATGTTTGAATATTTACTAATATAATAATTATTATCAAATTATAATTTGAAATAGAAATTATTGTGATTAATTATTACATAAATTATCAATGATGCCACTCGTACCAGTAATTATTTAAGCTTGTGCTGATTGTGAGTCATGTATATAAATACCTTGAGTAGTATAGGAACCTCAAGTGGGTTTTCTATTTTTGAAAGAGAGTCTTTATTTGTATTAACCACACCGGTAACCCACTCAAACATTCAAACACTCAAAGATTGGACTAGGCTGGTTAACTTCATATAAATGTTATTGATTATTTATTTATTTAAACAATATTTTATTCTAGAGGTTATTTAATCTTTCTGGTTCCCTACTTTATATATATACTCATACTTAACTTTAAACCTTATATATCTTGCGTGAAATGTGAATTTACCTTAGTGATGTTGGAAGTAAGGTTGAAAATAAATATGCTTTGATTTATTGTGAAATTAATAAATTTGACGAACCACTTTTTGCACTTGTTGAAAATTCATAAAGTGAAGGAGTAGTGCAATGAATTGACAGTATTTATGCCGTTTTATATTAAATTTAATTCTTCTATATGTGCAAGAAGTGTCATGACCTATTACTATTATCTGTTTATTACTCAATTGTGTTAGTTATTACATACCATTTTACTTAAAATAAGTGTTTTGCCACAACTAAAGAATTTATTATAGTTATTACATAAGATTTGTATCAATGCATTTTTAGACATTTTTTGGAATAGTATAAAGGATTGACATGAATAATATATATTTTATTTGATGACTTATAAACAATAATTTATAGAATACTGAATAATGAGTGGGTGTATGTATTATAACAAAAGTTGAGATTGTATTTATTTTTTATTTAATTTTTAACAATACTTTCTTTTTTTTAAATAAAAAATAACAATATATATTTAACTTAAAGTTTTGTAAGGTTATTCTTAAACTGATTTTTATTATTATAGTTTGTCGAATACTATTCTTTATTGTGTTTCTCTGAGTATACATTTGGTTTAACAAAACTGAAGCCTGAAATGCTAAATATCAACAAAGAATGTGGAACTCTTAATGCTGAATACTATGCATTTTCTAGAAAAAATATTGGTTTGTACTTTCCTCTTTTATGACTGTTTGTTTTTTTAACTTTAATGTAATTAAAATATTAATTGAACACTTAATTTAAATTTACTATTAAAATTATAATTACAGATCAACCAGTCCCATTCAGAATGACATCTAGCTTAAAAAAATTTATTACATTTATAAGAAAAAAATTGTTCATCAACTGTACAGTCGCAAGTGCTCAATGTTTCCATAATTCTAGAGAATACTTAGGCATTATGCTAAAAATTTTACTGTATGACGAGTTAAAAGATATATCAATGTTTGTATGTATTTATTTATCAATTGTACTTAGAAAATATTCACTGAAATTTATATATTTACATTTTTAATTTTTACAATAAACTCATTATAATTTCATTTGTTTTATTGATTATAATTATTTTATTATGTCTAATAGGAAACTCCAGTTGATGGATTTAAAAACTCAAACAAACAAGATCTTTTAAGAATTATAACAAATAATGTCAAAGATATGTTAACAAAAATAAATGAACTTAGCGATTTATCAACTAATAATATAGTATGACTATTATAATAAAAATAAATAAAATAATTGAAACAATGTCTTGGAAAAGTCACAACTAAATTTTATAGAAGAATCAAAAAACTATTAATCTAAAACCCATTAGGCTTATAAAGAGCGTTTTTTTCAACAACATTTTTATTCTATAAAGAAATAGGTTTTAGTTTTTTATTAGATATTTGTATTTACTGTATTGTTTACAAAAAAATATATAAAATTAATTTTTTTAAATTTAGTACTTTTTCCATGTCATTACTACAAATTACTTATAATAATTTTGTTAAAAATTTAGATTAAAAAAAATATTCTACTTTTAGGTCGAAGAACTTTTATTGAAGGCATCAAGTGAAGAAAATATTTATCTCGAAAGTCCAACATGGCGACCATGGTTGTAAATGAAACATAATTAGACTAATTATTTAATTTATTATTTATTTAATTATTATAAGATGTATGACACCTTATTGTCTTGAATGTATAATACAATTTATTAATTTTTGTACAACATTGAAAAACCTAAGACTGTTTGATTATTTTTATATAAATGAAACTTTTTTTCATTTAATTTGTTTTTTTTTTTTATACATAGAATTTTGTCTACTATGTGAATTGGTAACTAAACCCAACTTTATTTTTGATTGTCAAAAAAAGTTTTTTCGGTTCATAGCTGACAGCGAATTGGTGTGACTCTTACTTGTTATTTATTTATTTTTTTCATCCACTAGTGACGAATTCAGGATGCTTAAAAAAGACCAATGTTTTTGGCAGCACATTTTAAGGGGTATAGAATAAAAGTTAATGACCTTTTTTTTGCAAAAATGAAGATTTACAAACTTAAATCCGACAAACTGAAATTTTTATGTTATATTGCTCAACAATACGTCAAAGATCTCATATATTTAAAAGACACTATCAGTCATAATTTGAAAATATTTCTCTGAATTCTCGTAATAAAAAAAATTATCCTAACATTTATTTAAAATTAAAGTTTATTTATTATACTTTACCTATAAAAAATGCATATCCTAAGGATTTGTCTTTAAGTGCAAACTTAATCTAAATCTAAAATCTAGTGGGTCAGAGCATAGAAACCAAAAAAAAAAAAAGGTCATTCAATATATACATTTTAATGAGCATTTATTTTGTTTATAATGTAATAATACAATAAGGGTTATTAAAAATAATTTAATTAAATATAAATAGGTATTTGTTTAGTGTGAGTTTTGAGTATGTGCGGTTTCTAATGACAACGCGGCAAAATCAACTTCAGATAATCTATTTTGGAAGAAGAAACAAGAAGTAGGTAACTTCACTGGAATACGCAAGGGTGGAGTCGGGGGTTGAGCCCCCCTCCAAAAATGTATAAGCTAAGCAAACATTTTGGACGATAAACAATAAGTAATAACAAAAAAAAATCATATCATACTATAAATATTTCGACAATAAAGTAATCGAAAACGGGAACTTTTGTAAGCGAAAAATATGGTCAGTGTCACATCTAATTTTTTTTAAATTTCAAAAAACTCCCCAAATTTAATTTCTGTGTACGCCACTGAGTGACTTAATGTTACATCTTTAAGTCCAACACGTAAAACTACGGTTGTCTCCTCTAATGAGATTAGTAATTTTAATTAAAGTATTCATAACTCCGTCAAGCTTCATTATTTTTCCACACAACGCTTCCTGATGAATAATATAATGTATAGCATGAACATTAACGTTAGATTTGCGTAATAATCCAACAAAACCAATATTTTTGCCAACCATGGCTTTGGCACCATCTGTCACAATTGATGACATTTTTTGAATCCATTAAATATCAAAAGTTGACTTAAATCTGTGCTTTCGTCAATAGCAATAGAAAAATATGCACAATCCGTTATAATAGTTTGCAATGTCATACGAATGGCACTATCAGTGTCAGCTATACGATGTGTCACTGTGCGTCTTGGAAGTGATATTTTTTCAAATTCACTGGCAATTTTTTTTCGTTAATTGATTTAGCCACTTTTACTGAACAGTTTTTAAAAAATTCGCCATCACTCAACGATTTTTTAGATTTTGCTATTTCATTAATAATTACATATGAAGCCAATAAACTTGATTGTTGTGAAGTTGTTGTTTTTGTCATCACATTTCGTAGTGATTAAACTTTTCTTTTGAGATCAAATACAGCATTCTCTCTCGCATCACCAATATATTTTTTATATTTGGACAAATGATTTGTCATGTAATGTATTTTTAAATTATATTCTTTTAAGATCGAAATAATGCTAAAACAAACTAGACATTGAGGGTTTTTTATTTGTTAATAATAAATAAATAGTAATTTTCCCATGAGATGTTAAAAGTTCTATTTTCGTCATCAATTTTACGCTTTTTTACGATTATAGAGTATGTACAATAAACTTTAAAATTGATGATGCAATTTGAAAATCAGATAAAAAAGGCTCGCGGGCCACCAGTTACCCATCTCTGCTATAGAAGATGGTGGCCCTCTTTCACATGTTCAAGAGTCAAACATGGCTCTTGGCTTGGCAAACGATGGTCGGGACGGAAATTATGGCCGGCTTGCACCATAGATCAGACAACACCAATGAGAAAATCACAAAAAAAATCATATTAGAACTCTGGGAACCGAACCCGGGACTGTAACGTATCCTTTTACCCACTAGACAAAACCGAACCTTGAAAATATTAATATGAATATAAATAAATATTATCTATACAGAGTGATCGCTTTATCATAAACCACTCCATTACTCGCAAAATGAATTCAATGTTGGAAAAATTAAACTATTTTATAAACTATTTAAACATGTATGTTGTCATTAAAAAAAAAAGTCGACTTAAGTTATAAGGGATGATTCCAAAATGTAATTANATTAAACTATTTTATAAACTATTTAAACATGTATGTTGTCATTAAAAAAAAAAGTCGACTTAAGTTATAAGGGAATATTAAGTAATAAAATATATTTTAATATAGCACTGTATTTTCAAAAATTAAAGTAATTTTATTTAAAATACATTAAATTATTTTGAATGTACATAAAAAAAAAATTAAAAAACCACAATAGATGCAATTTTCACATATCTTCCTACAAAACGTCCAATAAAAAATTTACTTAATTTATATCAGTTATCATAAGCCCATTATATCTTTTGTGGCAATAAAATAAGAAAATCATTCATAATAATAATAATAATAATAATAATAATAAATTAAATTAATTTCAATTGAATATAAAATATTTAAATGTATTTTTTATTTTAATCCAATACAAACTTAATATTCTATTAATATTCTAAAAGAAGTTTTACTTCATCCACGCGTACTTGTAACATGCACGGGATTTTTTCTTTTTGAAGGACTATAATTTTAAATTAATTTTAAGAACTAATTGTGTATTTAGGTAGGGTTCGGAAAAGCAATAGTTTACCTTGTCCCAAAATTCTTAGGGGCGAATCTTAATATTAAAAAGCAAAACCTACAAATATTATCAAGATACGGTCGATTAACAAACATTTTTTTGTAGTAATATTAGTAGTTATGATTTATATAATTTATGTTCATTATTATTCCTTCCCTATGACAAAAGTAATTACACGATAAAGACGCAATTTTTTCTCATTTGGAGGAGTAATAAAAATTTGTGTTATGTATCCTCTATGAACTATGAAACTTTTTTCAATAATCAGAATAAGTTTTATTGATTGTTAAATTTTTTTATTTATTAATTTCTATATCCTTTAGAGCATTGACCCATGTGTTTATTTAGTAACATCTATACAAATTTTAATATATTAAGACATTAAAGCAATGATTCTCATTATTTTTTTTATAGAATAATGTATCCACATAGAAAATCTTTATATTCCTTATATTTTGTAAATGAAATTATTAACTATATTCTACTTTTCAAATGATAGTGTATTAAGTAAAGAGATAGCTTGATCTGTATTATTTCGGATATCATATTTAGAATGAAAACCATTTAAATAAAAAAAAATAAACGATAATGTTGATATAGTATACTTAGGAAAATAATGTGTGTCGCAGCATTAGTTTCGCGTTCCCGTTTTTTACAGGTCAAAAATTCAAAATTTGTTTATGCTAACAAAATTATACTATATAGTCGCATTCCACGAGTACACTTTGTTACAATAATAACATTGTGTACACGATGGACATTAGTGAACAAATTTTCAACAGCTGTTGCAAACATACAACAACATTCTCATTTTACGAATATCACTTTTTATAAGTTAATTCTTAGTGGGACACGTAATAGAATGATGAAATTGCAATTGTTCGTCTTTGTACCGGATCGTTTGCGCTCGCCGTTTGATTAAATGTCATTAACAGTGTTAATTTATTCGTTGAGGTTGTTAATTGTTAACCGATGCTAAAAACTATATGATAATATTTACTATTAAATTTCATCCACTTACAGTGAAACGCTGTTAAATCAACATTTAAAGAATAGTTTGTTTAGCTTCTGTAAAATCATGTGTTCCACGTCGGTTTCATAGTAATTATTTGAAATTTGTTGAATAATAGTTATAATTTTATTATACAATCGCAAATTTAATCAAATCACGAAAAAATAGACTAGTTTTAATAAGTAAGTATCAACTTTAAGATATATTCGTAAGTTTCTTTTATTATAAAAAATATGATCATAAACAGCATTACAGACCAGACTAGTGGTGTATTTCGCAGGGTCCATAGGAGGAGGACAGTTTAATGGGTATATCTTAAGATAAAATGACTTTTTTTAGCAGAAAAAAGGTATTTCTATAAATTAAAATTTGATAAGTTGAAATTTTTGGGCTACAATAATTTAATAAATACTATATTATCCACAGCGCAGCAAAATATTAGATACGCTTCTGGCCTAAACCTGATATAACATTCTATTAGTTACATATAATTCTTGACTTATCAGCAAATAATAACACTGCCATTTAAAAAAAATTAAGTTGAAGCCCTTTTAAGTTATGAGAGATGATTCTAAAAAGTAATTATTAGCTGATAAATCAAGAATTATATGTAACTAAAAGAAACCAACATTTTGATTTCAATATGGTATTTATTTTGCAAGTAATTGATTGATTTATGATAAACCGATCAATCTATATAAGCTTTTTAAAGGAGTGTTGAAGTACCACTCAGAAAAATAAACAAATCTCTTTTGATAAAAATTCGACAAAACTATTTTCTTATAAAAAATTTGCATTTTGATGCAAATTTTCATTTTTCACTATTGATCTACAATGATGTTAATCACCGTCAAATTTAAATTTTAAGGGAGTACAACAACGTGTTTTGTTCACTTAACACTACACAGCTAATAATTTAAGTAATAAAAACTTTCGGTAGAATTTTAAGATGTATTAGAACTAATTGAATAATAATAATAACTTTTAGAATTTTTAAATAATCTAAATTTTATTGCAACATATTTTAAGCAGTTACATTGGATACAAAAAAAATATAATTAATATAATAAAATAAAATTATAATAAATAACTCAGTTAATTATATAACTAATGGTTTTCGTATCATTGTAATCTCCTCATAAGTACCTTAGCATTTTTTTTCTTAGGTTTTCAAACCATTTGGATTCTTAGTTATCAAAACTACTTTCTTCCATTAATCTCAATTAATTGCCTATTTCAAAATTATTCGAATTTCTTTTAATAATTCCTGCACACTCTTCTTCTTTTTCACCGGCTCACCCTTATCATATATGTCAATGTTTCTTTAAATATATTTCCATCAGCTCTCCCTAAATGGTCTGCCTATTCTATCCTTGTCCTTCTAATAAATTGGACCACACACTCTGTTTTGTAAATTTGATGTAGTTGGATGTTAACCCTTACTTCTTATTTTTGTTTCATTTCTTGGATACTGGTCTATACATTTTTCTAAAAATTTTTCTCTCAAATAGTCGTAATTTTTCATCATCACCTCTCGACTTTGCACATGTATCACATGCTTATAGCAATATAGAGTGAATGTAATTAAAAAAAACAAATATTCTTTTGTTTATCTTGATAAAAATTTGTATTTAAAGGGGTTTCAGTGCATAAAGTCATCTGTTAGCAGCATCCAATCTAATATCTTCATGCATGTTATTTTTACTGTTACCGAATTACTTGAGCTCTTGCACTTATTCAAAGGTGTTCTTTTCCACGTTGAGATTTGTATGATCACTCCACCTCGTTTTGCTATCATATTTTTAATTTTCCGAAGTTAATTGTTAAGCTAATATTTTCCCTATCTTTATCAGGACTTTAACGGTACTTTGGATGGCCTCTCGTGGATTTCCAATAACCACTATGTCGTGTCCATATGTTAGAAAGTCATTTCCTTCATCAAAGTTTAATGTTTCAGTTTGGGGTATTTTCCCTATTATACTCTCTAATGCTACATTGATTAGCACTAGTGACATCGCATCCTCTTGTTTCAATCTGCTATTAATTAGAAACGATGTTGATATTTCATTGTTCACTTTACTCAGCTGTTAGTCCTCGTTTTACACAATTATATTATATTGATTAGCTTAGTTGATGCACCAAAATGTTTAAGAATTTTCCATAGTCTTTCTCTGTTTGTGCTATCGTAGGCTTGCTTATAGTTCACAAACATCCTATGCAAATCTTTTGCGAACTCTTATCTTCTTTCCTTTTTTAGCTTCAATGAGAAGCTGAGAGGTTATTCATTTTACCATGATGTGTTTATTTATTTTTTATTTTTTGTGTCTGTCACTACTTTTTCTTAGCTCTCAGTGGACCGAATTTTCTCAACGATACGTCAAAAGATCACAAATTGTATCTTATTGAAGACATTACCCTTAAAAGTTAAACATTTTTCCCTCGTTCCCCGTAAATGGTGAAAATCTCCCAAAAAATTACAATTTATTAAAAACGATAAAGTTAAAAAGAAAAAAATTATTCCGACGATTTATCTTCTATGTGAAAATGGTTGACGCAGTTAAAAAAATGCTATTTTTGTGTTAAAATTTTCGATTAAAATTAAAATTAAATAAAAGTGTCAATATTTCCGGAACATTTTCATTGCCCGTGACAATAATTTTTTTCCTATTATTCCGTAATTATTTTTGAGTTAGAATTTTGCTTTTGAATAATCCACCAATTTCTTAAAATTAAACTCTATTTACAGATTTGTAACGAAGTGTTTCTTATGATAGTGATTTTAATCACTGTCAGATTAAATCTATATTGGACCCAACTATGCCACGTCTTCACTATGCTGGGTTTTTTATTAAAAAAAAAAATCTTACTATGTTAAATTGTTGCTCATATATGCTGATTTACATTTAAAGGGTACAGGAAATAAAGGTAGTAATCCATTTTTTCAATTTTAATTTTATATTTTGGTTAACCAAATAAGAATGGTATCAAGTAATAATTACCATATAATCAAAAATATTTTAATTTTGCTGATATTAAAACGTTTATTACTCTTTTATTATTAAAGAGGTAGGAAATCATAATATTTTTATTTTCCTGAAATATTAACAAAATTGTTCTAATACCGTTTTTCTTTATACTCTTTTTTTAAAACTTGCTATTCTTAGCAAACACCTAAAAGTCAAAATAGGTCAAAGTAAGTGATTTATCCTCATTTATGACACATCAATTTTACTATCAATATCTTCTTCTTCTTTCTCGCTTTAATCCCAACTACTTGGGGTCGGCCACCTTTATCCTAAACTTCCACTTGACACGATCTCCCACATCATTTTGGCTCACATCAGCTGTCCTCAAATCACATTCAATTGAATGTTAATAGATAACAGAAAATATAATAGAGAACTCTTTTATGATATAATCAGAAAAAATTGAAAAATATCTAGTTATATTTTAGCTTTGATGCAAAGCAGAGAAAGTATTTATATTACTGTGATGTGTTTTTTTGTGTCTGTTACCACTTTTTCTCAGCTCTCACCTAACCGATTTCTTTCAACAATACGTCAACAGATCACAAATCGTATCTAGTCAAAAACATTACTCTAAAAAATTAAAAAATTTTTCTTGTTCTCCGTAAATGGGAGTTATCTCCAAAAAAATTACAAATTTAGAAATCGATAATTATCGACATTTTTTCAATTTTTTTACTTAAAACTGCCATAACTTTTATAGAAAAAATTAACTTGTTCAGCATTATTTTTGAAAGTATTTAAAAAATACTGACATGTTTATATAAATCTTAAATTAAAGCGTATGTAATATACTTTAATATAAAAAAAAAAAATTCGAACCTTATTTTTTCTTCATAGTGAAAATGGCTACCTTTTTCAAAAATATGCTTTTTTTTGTTAAAATTCTCGATTATATATTTTTAACTTTATATTTCTATAACTTTATCAAATGTATGGATCATTACAATTTCTTTATGAGAAATACTATTTATTAACCTCTTTCATTTGACGTACTTTTTTTTATTCGGACCATTTCCCTTTATACAATTAGGGTTCAAAACTTAAAAATGCATATAGAAAGTAGAACTTTTTCACCTTAATTTTTGAAAGTGTTCCGGAAATACTGGCACTTATATATATATATCTTAAATTAAAGTTTATGCAATGCACTTTATTATGACCTCTGGACTTGTCTTCGTGATGAAAACGGACATCAAAGTTAAGAAAAACATACGATTTTCGTGAAAAAATTTTATATTTTTAACTATATAACTTTTGAAAAATGTATGGATCATTATTATTTTTATAAGATAATAATTATTTATATTTTTCTTTTATGTGATATAATTTTTTAAATCGGACCATTACCCTTTACAGGGTGGTTCAAAACTTTAAAATGCATATAGAAAAAAGAATTTTTTTAACTTAATTCTTGAATGTGTTGTAGAAATACTGACATTATATATATATATATATATTTTTAATTTAAGCTTGAAAAAGAAAAATTTCAGACTTGAGTTTGTTTTCATGGTGAAAACTAATATCAAAGTTGATAACAAAATAAGATTTTTGTAAAAAAATTCTTATTTATATTTTTAATTTTATAATGATATAACTTTGTACCATTTGATAGTAAAAATATAATAATAGGTTCCCTTTAAAATTTTGAAAGTTACCCCAAGATCTAGTCGTACATTCTATTTACAATTTCTTATAAAAATAAATTACATTTTAATCTATAAATTCTTAACGAAAAATGAAAGGCAGTATACTTAATAAATCACTCTGTATATAACTTAATGTAAACCGATTAATGACAGAGTAATTATATAATGGTACTTATTAAAAAAAAGGCCAATAAAAATGAAGAAAATCAATCATTTTAATTCAATAAAATTACTGAATTAATTGTTAAAACAAATAATCATAAAATTTATGTTGTATTTTTCATTTTAACAAAATTGCACTATATTTTTAGCATAAACAGTATACAATAATTTTTTTTCTTAGAAATAGTGAAGTATGGACATGAAATACTATTAGTAAACATTAGAAGTTATTAATATGATAAAACTTATTGAATTTTGTCATGTAGAAGAAATCTGTCAGAAATTTTTTTATTTAGGAACGTTGTTAAAAATTAATTAAGAATTGCATTGTATTCTATATTACAT